TTTTTTTTTTTTTTTTTTTTTTTTTTTCCGCTTCAGCCTTCAGCCCTGCCTCGCTGAAGGTCTGGATTCGCATCGTGTCCACCTGCCACAGGAAGGAGAAGTGGCGGCATAATGCTACTGCTAAGTGGCTGTGCGAGCTGCGCACTGCACTCTGCAAACAATGACATTTAAAAAAAAGGCGAAAGGAAGCGTAGTCCAGGACAGGCCCTTCACACAGTCCTGGACTTCCGTATATTGTACATGCTTCCAACTCCCATACAGGACCGCTTGGGGCACACACACTGTCACTATCCGCTTCAACAAGGGTCGATCAGGCCATGCAGCCCGCTGCTTTCCAAGACTCAGGTGCGGCCAGAAATGTGGTGTATTAGGACAGCAAGAGAAGCAGCACTGCTGGGAGCATACCATGCGCGGCCCACGCTTCACCGAAGGCTCAGGGCTCAGCTTGAAAACGATAAGTTTGTGTGGCCCTCTGCTCTCGCTTGCCCCCTCACCTGCCTGAGGAATGTGCACGCGGATGTTGCCAATGGGAGCCTGCTTGAAAAAAGGCAAGAGTCGATAGCGTTTCGAGGCTTCCCTGGTTTGAAATGTGCTTGCAGCTCCAAGCCTCATCATGGAGCCACAAACAATATCAAACAATACACAAGCTCGATGGAAATCCAAATTCCAAAGAAATGTGAGGAAAAAAAAGCTCACATGACTATTGCAGGACACTCAATTGGTTCGACAGTCCGCGCCAACTTCCTGCTCTTGCCGCACCGCTTTCCGAGAAAGTGCCGAAAAGCAGCTGTCAGCTGCAAACCCCTTATGCGGAATTCAGCTGCTAACACCTCACATACCTCACATCTTTCGGGGTTCTGCTTCTGAATCGTGTAGATTCAGGGTAGATACTCTCCAAATGCGGCCGCACTAATTCACTGCCCATACTTTGAGCAGCTGGAGGCGTCCTTGGCTGAGTTGATGAAGACGATTGTCAAGCGACCCGTTGCGGCGTTGTACCTCTCAAGCTTCCTATGCATACTGTTCGCCGACTTTTTCACTTCCAACCACACCCCGTTTGACAGCTGTTGCGCCACTCATGCACCCAAAAGTGTTCGCCCAAAACAGGCCCCTCCACGCCCTGGCTCCGATCTCTCGCCTACCCTTCCAACACTTTCGGTGACAGCAAACTGCCGGTGTATTTCACAGCTGAGAAACAAAAGAAACAAAACCGCAACTTTAGGCCATGGCCCACGGTTGTCCACAGCATTTGCAACCACATTTTACTCATATACATGTCCAATATAGTCTCTGGGAAAGAGATAAATATTACGCTTAAGCCCCTTGGGCCCAACAATCGGAGTCCTTTTTGCCTTCACAGCTGGGTTTGAGCTCTGGCCTCTGAACTCGGCCTTGCAAATTTCTAGGGTAGAAGAGGGGTTGAGAGAAGTGCCTTCAAGAAATAGTGCGCGCAAACTAGGACAAGCATTAGCAGCCTCAGCGCGCCATCCAATCTCGAACTAAAAGAGCGCACTCTTGCTTCAACTCCATGACTAGCTGCGGCGACGTGTAGAACCTGAAAAATCAGATCTGCCGGTAACTCCTGTACATTCACCACGCTCCACATGTGCAAGTCTGCGCCTGCCCTGCGGCGTGATGCAGAGCTGGGACCATAAGTCCTTCAGCAGGATCTGAGAAGATGGCAAACCATTGCAAACCATCAATCGCGTCCTTGGGGGTCGCCGCACCGGTGCCGTTACTCTGCACCGGGCCCGCATCTGATCATGGCGCACTAGATAGGATTGTCCCACAACAATGGAATCAACGCCGTGGACTTGAAACGTTTGAAAAAAAGCACTAACAGTGCATATCAGCGCGCTGGCCTTCCTCTGAGTCTGAGGACTCGGACCTGAGAGGGATTCTAGCAACTACAACCATTCCCAAAGAGCCTTTCTCAGCTCGCTGCGCTGATGCGTCCTGGCTACACCCCCGTCCACCCAGCATGTTACAGATGAAGAGCTCTGTGTGTCAAGTCTCTTGGCACCTTGGGTGGTGAAGCTGCCGCTGGCTTGCTAGGCCGGCCTGACTGAAGTTCGTTAGTGTCCCTTGAATGCCGTGTTCCCCACGTGGTCTCTGCCAGAGATCATCATGAATCATATATCAGGCCTGGGTCTGGAAGCTCCATGATCTTCTGGGCCCCGTCCGTTGAATCGGCCTTTCCCCGCCCTGGAAGTAAAAGGAAGCAGAAGCATCAGTTGAAGGGGCTCAGCTTTGGCCCTGTGCCTGGCTTGTACATTCCACCTTCGCTTTTTGCCGCCTCGCCAGAGAAACTATTCTACTCTGCTTACAAGCACCTCTCATAGGCTGACAATGCCCAACACCTATTCTGGTCCCACCGACTTCCGCGCCATGCGAAGTTTTTGCTGTCTGACGGGCCGATGTGGTGTCAGGTCCCAGTTCAGCTGTCAGCGATGTGCTTTACCAGCAGTAATCGTTACTCCATAATCTGGTACCTTGATACCGGACATGTCTTGGTGTTTCATGGGACTTGGGACACCGCGTTGCGGTTTGAGGATGTGGATAGGTTGGGAGTTGGGACGAGTTCCTGTCCATCCTTTTGCAGCCCTAGGGGGACATCTGGATTGAAGCCTACCTGCAGCGGGGTTCACCACGTGGAGTCAATAGAGTATACCCATGTTGGGGAAGCAACAGCGCTGCGCTGAAAGATCGAGTCCGCTTCCTGCATGCCCATATTTCTCCATGGAACTCCTCTGGCAAAGGCACGGCCCCCCCTCTACTGGCAAAGGCCATGTCCGGGATCGCTCACTCTTTGCACATGTGGAGATGCGGGCCAAAAGCCTGTATAATGTCATATTCCGACTAGTAAATGGGGTCGGAATAGAGCAAATCCGGGCCGAAAAAGGGTACGGAATAGAGCTAACGTGGGCCTGAACGGATTGGACCCCAGAATCTGCAAAACAGGAATAAGATTCAAATTGCAGATATATGCTAAGCCTTAAGTCTATGGATCCCATAGCTAATTACTGAATTGAAGCGTTTTGGCTGGAAAGCAGTTCCATTCCAATTCTCAGGTTTTGAGCACGCCAGAAACTATCGATTTCTCATAAGACCGCTTATTCGAACAGCCCAGGCAATCACTTCTGCTGAGGGGTACTATACCGAGACCGCCGGAACGGAATAATGGCCATTAACAAGAGTACGGAATAATCACGGCCTTGGCAGGCATATATATCCCAAGCCTAGACCTGGAGATCCGAAACCAATTGGAGCACGCCAGAAACCATTGATTTCTTATAAGACCGCTAGTTCGAACAGCCCAGGCAATCGGGTTCAGGCTTTAGTGTTCAGGCCTGGGCCCCCCAAATAAATATTCCGAAATTTGATTGGCCCCCCTGGACTATTTAGATCCGTACTTGCTTGAGGGGGCGGTCTATTAATGAATCACGGTCTCACTAGTGACCAAACTAGTGTTTCCACATTTTCCGCAGTTTGAGTGAGCATCGCTCGAAATAGCTTGGGCAGATTGGTCCTGTGTTTGGCTTCCTGCCGCCAGCGCCGCAAGCGCTCTGCTCGGCTCGGCCAGGAGCCACGTTCAAAATCAAGCATACAAAAGAAAACCAATTGCACTAACTTGGGGTCGGAACACCGAACACTTGAAAGCCCCCTTTCTTCAGTCAGAACTTCGTGTCTTGCGCATGAAACGCGGTATTTGCGGTTGGCCTCCTCTAGCTCTGCACGGGTGTGCGCTCGGTTCTTTGCCGAGAATTTCAGTCGCTGAACCTCGACATTCCAAGGAGCACATAGACCCAAGTGGTCAAGATTCGTCAAACTTGGAGAGTCTGAGATTGCTGGCCAGTGGATTATTCTTCTGCACGCTTTCAGCGTACCTGCTACCCCACCACAACTCCCCCCCTGCTTTTGCGTAGCTGGAGGCACAAGCAAACCACAGGAGATTTCAAAAACGCAAGCAGCTTGCACATCAACCCAAGAACTCAAAGAAGCTCGATCCCACGGAAAGTCTGATGCAGATGGCATTACCAAGGCGCACGGAGGCATGGGTCTCAACACCTGGTCCAGGTTGTCCTCTCAGGCTCGCAAGCTCGCAAATGAAAACTTTGAAGTTTGGAGGAGCTGCCTCGTCTTTGCAGAGCTGCAGGAGCTCCACGGCTCGCTGTTGCAGCTCCACGTCGGCACTGTCCTCAAACTCGTGCTTCCCTACGTTGGTTTGTTGTGAGTCAGAAAGAAACGGTCCTGAATCTCTCGAAGGAAACATACCACCTCGCCCTTCAGGGCGTCGTGGTTGGCATTCAGGATCTTCACTGCGGCAAGGAGGAGGATGGCCTAACAGAATCTTTCCACAGAATGCACAAATGATACTCCCCACATAATCCTTCGTAAACAGTTAAGAACAAGTGGGCGACCTTCGTCTGTGGTGAACCCCTTTGGAAGTGTCGATGGAGGGCTTCGAACTTCCTGAAACAGTCTGCCTTGTCTGGGCGTGGTACACATAATACCAGGAGCCGCACGCGCGAGGAGTCACACTTTGTGGCAACAAATGACCGAACTCTCCCATGAGGTACCTGGTTGTGTTGTTGCATCACTTGCAAAGCACAGGCGCCAAGTAATACTAATTACTCTTTGCAAGCCAGGGCACGCCCCCAAGCGTAGCAGCGTGTCATGAGCTGCGCGCTGGCTGGAGAGGTTCTGGTAAGCCTCACAGGCGCATAGCAGCTCTTCTTGTAGACTTGCAATAGCCCTGGCCTTGCTGGCCGCATGCCTCCTCAGAGCATTCTGCTCCTCAGCTGAGCTGGCTTTTCGGGTGCTGCTCCCCTTCTCTGCCACAGAAATTGCTTAGGCATCGGGCCGCCTCAGAAGGTCCGTCCTCAAAGCCTGTGACCACCTGCACTAGCAGCTTTCCTTTCCAGCAACATCCAGCAACCAAGGCCAAAGAACATCGGAGGATCGGACCTGCACCACCCGGTACCACACGTCATCGGAGACCTCTGCAGCCAAGGCCAGATGCCAGCGGCATGGCAGACTCTCCTTGCACTTTAACCGTTTGCCTCATTTTACCCTTGGGCCGCCACCGCATCTGGCGCGCTCTCCAACATTTTGAAGACCACCTTAGAAGTCATCACTCAGAGCGTCACACGGCAGCATGAAGCATTTGTCAGTGAGGTACATCCACATACCACCCGATGTTCTTTGCATTCTTCTCTGCCAAGATGGCAATTTTCAGGACGAGCTCCTATGAAGGAATGCGAGGGTGCGCATGAGATTCCAAGATCTGACAAGACCTCTTGAAGCAAGTTGTCACTGGAGCCAAGAATTTCGAGGAGCTGATCCACGATTTGCTGCCAGTTCTCCGGCCTCATGATGCTCAACAATTTGCGCAAGAGTGGCATCCAGATTGCAAGCAAGATTGCCATGTGTTGTGTCAAGTGCATTGATTCATGCAAGCTGAGTAGGGCTGAAGCCTGCACAATGCGTAGAGCAGGTTCAACGCCTGCGACGGACTCGAGGGAATACAATTCTGGCATCGGTAGGCTTCCAAGAAGGATGCCTGTCGGCGGATGGAGATGTCAGTTTCATGCATCTTGTCCAGGATCTGGTTCTTGTATCTGCAAGAAGTGCTTGGTGCAGTCAGCTGCAGCTTTTACTTCTCAACGCTGCTCAACTCTCTGCGCTCTGAAAGCACCTGTCCAAATACTCGTGAGTTGACCTGGCGACTGCGTGCGGCTGTGGCAGCTGGCAGCTACAAAATGCAAGCAGAAAGAGCCCAAACTCTGCTGGTTTCTGGGGAACTGGGGAAGTGGCAGGTTGCTCGCCAGCCGCGCCATGGTCTCCAAGCCCAGATACCTCGAAAGAAACGAACGCGAAGCAAAGAAGCAGAGAAGGCCAAACCGCCAAAGTGGCAATTTGGGCCCTTGGGCCTTAGGGCGTTTCAGACCCGGGCCGGATGTTGGGATCCGTGGAGGAGAGGAAGATCCCAAGAAGACCCGCCGCCGTCTTCGTTGTCTCCGGATCTGCTGTGTCCTCACAGCTGCACTGTACTGCCGCAGCCGCTCGCAGCATCCTTCAATGACTGCACGAAGCCACCTCCAAGTGGATCATCAGGTTCATAGCCTCGAAGGCCCAAGAGCCCCTTAAATCCCACTCACAACAACGGCCTCTTTCAGACCTCCCTTTTGATTTCGGACCTCGAAGAGGACAGCATGCTCAGCGTTGGAGCGATTCTGCCGCTCTGCATCGACCTCCGAAGCTTGTTTCTCCGACCGAGAACGAAGCCGCAAAACCCGATCAAGGGCCGCCGCCTTCGTGCGCCTCTTGCCGGGACCTCCGGGGGTCAAGAAATGCCCAGAAGCGCCAAAGAGGACGCCCGCGATGCGTTCCAGTCCAGCCTGGTGGAAGAGGTGCCGGACTGCGCTGCGAAGAAGGCTTCGCCAAGATGCTCTGCAGAATCAGGTTCAGCCGGTGCCTGCGTGTTGGTGTGCTGGTGCCAGCCCCCCTTCAAGCCCCAGCTTTGGATGTAGCTCATCTAGGGGCGGTGCAGCAACTCGGCATCGAAGGTGGTGACTGGGAAGAATTGCCTGTAATGAGCACCACATGAGGTTGCGGCTTGCGGAATTTGCACGCGCAAGGTCTTCCCCAAGGCCCCCACAGGATGCGGAGCATCTTGCTCTGCAGCCAGGGTGCTGGCACATGGTAGTACCTTTGCCGAGCTTTTGCTGTTGCTGGGAGGTTTCACAGCCCCTTGGCGGACTCGTAGTGCTCTGGGCAGATGCCCTGCACCAAGTTGGCCAGGCTCTGGCAGACGGGTGCCACCACACCCGACCATGCCGGGGCCTCAAAAAAGGGTCTGCTTGGATCACTCAGCTCCATCCCTTACCATTTCGCCACTTCGCCACTGTACAACGCGACATGGCCCTTTTATCACCATCGCTCTCCGGCGAGCGGGCTGCAGCTCTTCGACGCGCGGCCTTGCCACAGCAAACACGGCGTTCCAAAAGCCTCATCCCGATGCCCGCCTCAGAGACAGCGAGGGCACGCCTTATTAACTCAGCCTGCGGACCACGATGAGCACAACGTGCAGCACAACGTGCAGCACAACATGCACCGTGACTCACCGAATCGGAAAATCAGAAATTACACACGAGACACTTTTTTCAGGCCCTGCCTTCCTCTGTTGAAGCTGTTCACGCGCCGAGGCCTCTTGCACCTCGCTTGCTTGCTTGCTTCTCCAAGCAAGGTGCAGACTCGCAGACTCGTAGACTCGTCACAAGCGGATACAGCCAAGTTGCACAAAGAAGCTGCAAGGTGCCTGAGTCTTTGCGAGATAGCCAGCTAGGCAGCTGGGCTGGGAGGTTGCTGCTTTTTCCAAGATGCCTTCCAGGTCCTTCTTTTCACCTTGCAACCTGACACGTTCAAGTTTTCTTGCGAAGCCTTTTGAAGGTCAGGTGTAAACTGAGCAGCTGGCTGTTGAAGCTCTGCAGCTGCAGTCTTGAAGTCACGCTGGCATCCCGAAAGCACTGCACAAGCTTCTTCCTGGGAAGCGCAGAGAGAAGAGCAAGAACAGGACGCAGAATGCAGCACCCTCAGTTCTGCGGAGGAGCCAGCTGCTGTTGAGTGCCCGCCTGCGTGCCACATGCGATGCACATGAATTGATGAGCATGGCAAAGATACCACAAACGACGGCCAACAACACGTCCTGACCTTGCTCTCTGGAGAGACACACATGTTGCAGTACCAGGACAAGCGGACTGGTGAGTCTGTCGGATCTGCAGGATGAAGGGGCTTCCTGTCTACTGAATCTTAAGTACCATGTGAGTGAGGAAATTGCTGGCAAAGTGTTGATTGCGGAATGTGCAACATCGCATTTCCTTCTACCCTCAAAATGCGCATGCCGCCTGAGAGTTGCATTAGAACGGAGACACATAAAGTGGCAGGAAGTCTGAGAACGACCTAATGTAATACATACATCCTAAGTACTAGCCACTGAATGCAAAAGCAAGCTTCGACCTTTGAGCCAAACAAGCAAGTTTACAACTGAGCCGTGCTGAAACATGCCTGAAATTGCAGTAGGCTTGCGGCAGGGAACTTCCCCATTTCCAGGATGCCCAGCATGAAGCCACTGGCTGACCTGGAACGCAGAGGCCAGACTCTCACAATCCCAAGCTCAGAAGTTTGACATCCAATGGCAAAAATTCTGAAGCGCTTGCCCCAGCACCGGGATTTAGGGTTGGGACAGGAATTTGGCAAGTTGGAGAAACCTCTGATTCTCAGATTCTGGCTCTAACAAGCGTTCGATGGTTCAAGTTTCGGTTGTTTTCTCTCGGCTCAGTGGCCTGGACCGGTGGCCTGGACCCTAATTCGGGGCTCTGGAATTGCACCAGCGGCTTAGAAGAGTTTCGTACAGCCCTAACAAACAACAGCCGAAACCTAAACCCAGACCCAATCACTACCCAGCTACAAGGTCTAGAGAACATTGCAAGAAAGACATCTTTCAAGGCCAACGCGTTAGTAGGCCAATGTCCTGCTCGTTGAAGAGCGCGGCGAGCTTGGCAGACCAGACCTGGAACTGAAGAAATTGAAAAAATGTGTGGGTACATTTCATACGTAGCTACCCTTCGCCTCCGGCTGCAAGCCGTCGTTTTCCTGACACAAGTCCCAGGATGCTCTCGCTCAAGTGCTTGCATAATTTCATGTCCTTGCGATAGAGCCGCAGGAGACAGATGCAGGCTTTCCGCTTGATGTACGGGGACAGCCTCATTCCAGCGCACTTGTTCTTAGGTTGAATTTTGCGGCTGTCTTTTAAGGCACGCTGCGCATTGGACTGCGCCAGGATCATCCTGGAGATGTCCGTGAACAGGTTGTCAGCAAACTCGGGTCCTGCACTACAGCCCTCCATCCAAGGAAACAAGGCTGCCTGCCTGTCGGGACTCTGGCCTCCGATGTTGGCCACCGTGTTTAACGCAAGGGCCGCCATGTGCTGTCAAAGTTTTCAGGTTTGAACCTCTATACGCTGGTCCAGGCTGTTCTGGGATCCCTGCTTCATTGCCGGAGGAGATGTCGGTCTTGACGCTGTTCACGATCATCCGCACCATGTCGTTGTTGTCTGCTAGAAGCAGCGACGTTGCCAAATACCTCCAGGGGCAGTCAGCTTGGCATTTCAACTGAGATGCCAATTTTCGATGATCTGCGATGGCGACCCTGCAGTCTTCTCACTGAACTTGGGCGACGAGCAGAGCTCCACGGCCTCGGCTTGACAGGAACAGGCCCCACTGCCCCACTATCTGCACCTGACCCGCGCTCCTGGAAGTGGCCGGTGTCGTCAATTTCGTAGCCCAGCATATACGCATAGAGCAGCTTCCACACGTACCTTCCAACCAACGAGCTGAGAGCACACGTGGCCACGTGGCACTTTCAACCACTTTCAAGTGCTGCTCACTTCTTGCGGTCATAGCCGGACAAAGTCTTTGGCGTGGCAAACTTCTGCCGGATCTTCGACAGTTCCTCTGCCAGCCCAGACATGCTCTAACGGCTCCCGTAGCCACGTCTGTTCAAAGGACATGGCTTGGTCCTTGTCTACCCTCTGCCGCTCTTGCTCTTTTGTTTGGCAGTTGCGGATGTCTGCTATAAAGACCTGCAGCTGCAGGAGCGCTGGGGAATGCGCGGTGAAGCTACGCCGCAGCATCACAAAAGCATTTTCCAATACAAAAGTCCAGGGACAGCGAGGAAAACAACCTACATGGGCGTCGAGTGCCATAGCAAAAGTCGCAAGCGAACATTCTAGCGATCCAAAGGAACATGCAGCAAAAATTACTCCCAAAATCTTCACACTTCTTGACCATAAGCCTTCCTTTTCGGCTGAGAGTTGCTGAGATTTTCCCGCGCCTGCAGGCCCTTCATATGACTCGGGGAGTCGAAGCCCAAGGTCTCCTGCGCGCCGCGAACGGCAGCCTGCGCTGACTGCTCTCAGGGCTCTTAGTGCCATTCCTTCAGCGCCGCGCGCACACACACACACACACACACACACGTGTTTACCTTCATCATCAGATGCAGCATTCCACCAGCCTTGACACCCTTCATGGTGCGCTACGCGGCCTTGAGCGAAGCATTCTTTCGACAAATGGTTTGAGGTCACGGCGGCCTGTGATTCTGCTAGTCCATGTGCAGATCTGTGGGCCTCGCCACTCCCCCAGGCTAGATGCTCATACCACTCGTACCACTTGCACAACGTCTGCAGGCCAACTTGGTCTTGGGCCCGGGCGCCCCAACGGCGAGACAGAGAGAGAGAGGGAGAGAGTGCTACTGCCAGAACGTTACTCCGGCGGAAAAACTGCTCGTAGCTACTTGGATGCTGGACAGCTTAAATGGATACCCAATGACCTTTTCGGTTGGGGGTGCGTTGAGTGCCTTGGCTCTAGGGGTGCTGGACTGCGGCAACGTTGGCCTGTAAACCGATATGCTGAAGGCAAACGTGCAGGATCGCAATGACCTGGGTAACGTTGAGCGCCGGGATGCCAAAACTTAGAGTCTCAAACCCGAATGCACGGACCAGCTTCGCAACAGGCTCTTTGCTGTGACAAAGGGGCCAAGGTAAGGCGAAAGGAAGGGAAGGCTATGGCGACTGGAGAGTCTTTCGCTTGGACACATGTCGTGTGGTGGGAGGCGTGCAAAAGTGGAGGAAGACCGTGCATCGATTCATCTCCAAGTGCTCTAAAAGCCGTGGCTGGCGGAACACGTTCAGGCTTTGTACGCGCTCAAGAGAAATTCAAGGCCTACGCGACAGAGCACCACAGCAGTCAGAGCAATCCGCCGAGGCCGGAGGCCTGGCGCGTTTAAATGACTCGGAGAGTAAATAACCCTCCCGCTCATCTCGGGGGTTCTAGAGGGGCTAGGGGGGGTTCGGGCGGCGCGGAGCGCGGGCAGAGGGGGTTGCCTGTGCAGGGGCGTTTAGATCCAGAATGCATATCACCAAATTGTTGTAGTAACACCCCTCCCCGCCACCACCCCCTTCCCAGCCCCCTCGCAAGCCTTGCCCCCGTGCCCTGATCATCACCAGCAACGCTTGCCGAAACCACTACCGATGCAGGGCCTCCTCGCAAGGCCTTTTCTAAATGCCTTTTCGACAGGCTTTGCGTTCGTTGAGCAGCGCAACAGTTCTGTAGCAGGGTCCAGGCGGACAGACGTTGCGCACAAGGAAGTGAGCAGAAAGCATTTCACGATGCTGCGGATGTGCAAACCTTTAAAAATCATTCGCAACAGGTTCTCAAAGGATAACGAAGGAGTTGCGAACCACAAATAATGCCAGCAGCAAAGCAGGGAGTGTACAGAGGAAGGGGGGAAGGGTTGGGGCATGGCCTTATCCTCCTGTACCAATTTCCAATACAACGGAAGCTGCAAAGCAATGCTACGAATTGTAATGGGATGGCTGGCTCACTGGAAAGAGGTCTCTGCGACTCCGGCACATCACTAATTCTGGCCAGGTCTTGGCACTGCTTCTTTGACTACGCATGGCGGAGGCAGGGAAGGGGCAGGGATCGCAAGCAACCTGCGTAAGTATGATTCCACGGCATCACCTGAGACTTTGAATGTCTTGTGCGTACTCTGCTCTACAGTAGGAAAGCAGGCTTCATGCTGGCACCTTGAAGGCCATCAATCGACATGAGTATGTATGAGACTGTCTTGCCCTGGTGCCTCGTATGTTGAACTTGGCTTGATCGCCTGATGTGCTGCTCAAAGGCGGCTCGCCCTGGCCTTTACCTAGTAGCTACCCAGTCTCCTCTTCTCGAGCAGAACGATTTCGTGGCTTTGAGGCATGTTCAACGTGTTCTGATACTGCTCTTCCTTGTCGATGTTGCTTCCCACATGCGAAGTGAATCAAGCTTCGCCTTTACAACACAGAAATATTGGGTTGGTTGGCATTGCTGCATGCTACGTCCAAGAAGGATTCATATGGAAAACCAGAGGCCATCCGCGCTTGCTCTCTTTCGCGTCTCTGGCCGAGGGGTAGCTCCGCCGCTCACTTACCGAGGTGCTTCATCATGTAGTTGTAGGCCTGCACCCACACGGCCGGACAGGCAAGAAAACGCCTGCATTAGGCCGTCGAACTTCCCGCTCCTCGCCCTCCTCTCCAAAGTCCACCACAGCAACGCAGCTGGCACCAACAACCTTGCTCTCATCTCAAGAATGACCGCATGTCTGGCAAAGCTATGCTTGCTGGTCAAGCCTTTCTGGGCATGCCATCCTTGTCGATCTTGCAAAGGCCTGCACATTCGCTCGATGCAGCTGGCTTGCACGCACCGGTAGCATTGACAGAAATCTTATGCGTCTCCTGCCCACTCGCCGAGGCTCTTGTTGTCTGGAACATCAATCACAGGCACGTTCTTCTCCACACAAAGCCCCTTGGCATTGAAGAAGATTAATTGCGTCTATGGTTCAAAGCAGCCAAGGGCCAAGCCTGGATCAGCTTTTTGTAGGTTGCTTCGTTGCAGGACTCGGCCATGAACACCACCTGGGCCTTGCAGGCCTCAACGTGCTTGGCAACCTGAAGCAAGAAGCCCTCAGCTCGCATCCGTTACCCATAAATCTGATGCTCGACCTTGCCTCATGGAGGCCGCGGATGACACCGTCCACCATCAGGGACTTCTTCAGCACGCCGCGCACGGCTCCCATCAGGTCTGTCACCTAAAGCCCGCCATGAGCAAGCCGAACTCATTTTTGCCACTGGCACGGGAATGGCACCTCCTCCTCTGGCTCAGCCTCGGGAGCCGCAACCTCCTCGTCATCGAGCTCAGCCATGACCTGGGGACTTCACTTAGCACGGCATTCAATACCTACCCGGTCCCTCAGCTAGCGGCGACCAGTACGGGGGATGATGACTAACGGCACCCACTAAGAGACGCTGCTTCCGAGCCTGGAAACGCAGGAAAGTGGCGTACAAAGAGCGCAAAGGCTTAAAGGAGCTAGTCCTCTAGATTCCTCTAGGCATGACAAGGCTGGACTTCATGAAAGCCCTGCACAGCAGTATCCTTTCTTTTTCCGGTGTCACTGCTCATTACAGCATCACCCGCATCTTGACACCTGCTAGGCACAAGTTGGAAAGTGATTGCAAGAAACATCTGCAGAACCGCGGGCGCGCCATTCTTCCACACATACTCAGGGTGCTTTGCCAGGCCCTCCTTGCGGTCCTTCACCTGCACTTGCTGCCCTCTTAACATTCCACAAAACCCACAGCACATCACAGCACAGCGCCTCCTCACGCCGCTCCAGGTCCTCAACGATGCGGTCCCACCTCCCAGAACGCAAGGTGGAGAACACAAAAAAGCAAGGCTTAGCCATGGTGATTTTTTCTGCTTCGAAGCGACTTGCTGTGGTCGAAGCTCCGCACCTGGCAAAAGGCTTAAAGATGATTCAGCTTCGCGGTGTGCTCCGAGAATCTCCGAGAGTCGCCGCCTGCGCTTTGGGCCCACCACCTCCGCCAAAATCCGGGAATGCCTGCCAAGCCACCCGAGCCACCCGCTTCTTTTCCTTGTATACTAGGCACCTGAGGACGAAGGGCGGCAAGCACCTGCCAGCACACAGCACGCATAAAATTTCGTCGTTTTTCTTCTTCAAGCTCTCTCAGGTCTCTTTCCGGTCTTTGCCTTGTCCGTGAGGCCCTCCTGCGATGCCTTCACATCAGCTGCAGAAATTCACACGCTTCTATCTCATGTTCCTGCCCGGACGTTCTCGCAAATGGAGATTGCGGCGCCAGCTGGCCTACACGTCGCAAGCTAACAAGATCCTGTGCTTTGGCTATCTGAGAGCAGCCAGACTACAATGACTACAACATACCAGAACGGTCAACCCTGCGTCGCGAGCTAACACGAGGCTTTAACCACTCCAGCGCGGAGCTCGGCCTCTTCCGCGCGGATGAGGCATTGCAAGGGGTTACCGGTGCCAGGGCATGCGCAGCGATCAAGGCCTGTTTAGACAGCGAGACTCAGAGACGAGGAAAAGCTCTGAGCTCTGAGCTTCTGGCTCCGATCTTTCGAAAGCCCCGTTTCGTGGCCATTTCCTCGGCGGTAAGCCCGTGGCAGTTCCGCACACCGGGAGCCGCATAAGCCTGCGGAGCATCACGAGTGGTTGCAGCAATGGGCCGCATGCACACTCGAACCTCCAGCAGCATCCTGCAGACCTCTTCGTGCCCGCTGTGGGCCGCAAACATGAGGGCTGTGCTGCCTGGACACAGCTGTTTGATGCTGTTTGGTATTCTTGGAGCTTATCTCTGGTTCGCTGCAGTCCGCGCTGCCTTCATCGTTGGCCGCCGCCGGATCAGCTCGCAGCTCCAAAAGAGACTGCGGCAAACAAGAATAGAAACGGTTCTTACTCCGAAACTTCTGAAACTGTTTAAGCGAAAAAGAGTCCTGCACCATTTTCGAATCCCCTCGATGCGCAGCAAAGAGAAGCGGCGTCTCCGACCGAGCATTCCTCGCGTTAACGTCTGCCTTGGCCTCGGCTACAAAGTTCTGGAGGAACAGAAGCTTTGCCTATGAAAGGGGCATGGCCTGCACGAGCTTCCTGGTCAGTTTCTGGACCTCTGTGAGTGACTCAACGACATCCCAACCTGCTGGGGAAGACATGCCTCCAGCTGCACCACTGACTCCTCCACGTGACATGGTCACATCACGTCGCATGGACATCACCAGGTGAGCCCCCAGATACTAGCCCGAAGTCCTCGCGCCACTTGGTTTTGGCTAGGAGATGAAGGGGGTGGTCACCACCTTTGACGCCAATCACCCAGAACAGGCATTTTGCTTTGGGCTCGGGCCTGCACCGTCAGACAAGGACGGATCCGCCCCAGCCTCGAAAAGAAAGCGGCCGGTCCCGTTTCTTAGGAGAGCAAAGCAGCGCTCATCAGCCTCGAGCGCTGCCTCGGCGGTCCTCCAACTCGCGCAAGCGACTCGTGCCTTCAAGGTCCTCATCACGTCCTGGCGTCTTTCTGCAGAAGGGCCCGCAACAGGGCCCGTCCCTGGCGCCGAGGCCTCTCCTCAATCTCAAGCTTTGCAAGCGACCGTGAAAAAAAGTGAGAACTTTCAGCCACTGCCTTGGCGTCAATGAGTTCGAAGAGTTCCGGGGCGGAGCTGAGGTCCAAGCACTGCGCGGAAAGCAGTCGCAACATGGAATTTCGATTTCTGAGTCTTCGTTCTTCGGGCCTGGCTCAGCCTATCCACCAACCATCCCTGCATGTGCGGCCGGGCACTGTCGCGCACTGTCACGCATCAATGCGCATCAGGGGTGCAGTCAAGCCTCTTCCGCCTCGAAAGCTCCAGCCTGATCTATCTTTTGTCGGGATTTGCTGTGCACTGATCCCGACCCAAAAAAAAACCGCCATGGCGGAGCCGCTATTGGCTGAAACATTGGAACAACTCTCACCGGCCAACAGCAGGCGATGGGACTTGGATCAAGTCCACAGCGTGGAAATTGTTGCATCTTAGGATTTTTACAAGATCTGCCATGTTGTCTAGGGACTCCGGAAAGGGAAAAGCGCGAACGAAAGGAGAGCCATTCGCGCATCTTCTCGAAGTCACACAACTCAGGCATCCGCTGAGTCCGCTTCCAAAGTCAAGTGAACGCGGACACGCGACTTCAGCCTTGAGCGCCTGTCGAGACTTCTCCATCTCCTGATGTATCGCCCTACATACACATTAGCAGCATTAGCATTACAGTCACAAAAGCCCATCCCTGTCACACAGTGTGAACCGGGGACTAAGCAAACTGCAAACGTTTCAACGTTTGCACCGACTGCGGTGGCGGAGCTGGCGGAGCTAGCGGAGCTGGCGGAGCTGGAGCTGGAGCTCCAAAGCCACATGAATTATCATGTTTTTTTGCACGTACGTGAAAAAAACATTAGAATTCATGAAGTTCTGGATCCTTCTGGATCTCTGATGTCTGGGCGGCTGGGCGGCGTATGCGGCGTCTGGAAAGGGGCCATGTCAAGGAGCGCAAGTTCCTCTGGCTTTCACGGGCTTGTCAGCGAGTGATCTGTCTGCGAACATGGCAGCCACAGCAGAAACTATGGCAAAACGCTTTCAGCCACCAAAATCACAGATTGCATGTTTGCTTGGCATGCCTGACAGCCCAGACACTCGCTCAGGTGAGGTTGCAGGATCCCAGAATTCAAATCTTGGCAATCTGAGCTGGCGGCCTCCAAGAGGCTCCGCGACAACTCGAGGCTTCCCTGGGCAAGGCAATGCAGGGTTCCCTCGTGTCCATAGGATCCTGGCAACACCTTTTTGAGAGCCATGAGGAGAGGTGTGCGGCCTAGCCTCAGCTAGCAACATCACCATGCTGCAGCACTTTTTTTCCTGTATAGTAATAGTCCTTGGGCTCATGGCAAGTCCTTGGGGGCAAGCTCAGCACGAGCCTCCCCGGCAGGTAAGAGAAAAGGACCGGAGCTACAGTTCTACGTCCCACCTGCAGAATCAGCGACAGCATGTCGGTGGAGTTGCTGAGCACTGCGGAGTGCAAGGCAGAGAGTCCTCAAAGAGATTTCCAAGCAATATCTATAATTTCACCTGGATCCCCCCCCTTGGCGCCTTCCTCTGAAACGGGTAGATTCAGGATGCAAGCAGGGCTATCCAACAGGCCGAAGACCTCCGAATCAAGAGACTTTGCTCCTGGCTTCAAATGAAGCTCTGAGCTGGCCGCAGCTGGCTGCAGCTGGCCTCTGCATAACGCCGTGCCCGGAGAGCCTCTTTTGGTCTTCTCAGCACCCTCTGCTTGGTCCAAAGATAACTGATAAGGGGTGGTGTGGGCCTATTGAGGCCTCTGCACTACAAGGCAACACATACAAGATAAATGATAATTCTGCTGGTGGTCGTGCAGTACATGCAGTATGGGCGGCCGTATCTCTAGCCACGGATGCAAGATTAGATGCCACTTCGTGGCAGGTGAACTGTTGTGAAAAGGATGGAAACTGTGCAAGAGTTGGGACGCGGGAGAGCGAAGAGCAAGCTCGCGTGGGAGGTCTTTCTTCGGACTGTGTCAGCCCGCCTGATGGAGCCGCTCGGCGCGGGCTGACGGCTCCGCAGGCCACGCTTCCCTGAGCTAGCCAAAGCAAACACGAAAGAAAGGTCAAGCCGGTCAAGCAGGAAAACCCACAAAGTACACAGTGCGCTGAAGAATTGCAAAGTGCCGTATCGCATAGCCCGAAATCCTGCTGCTCGCTGGGCTACATTGCTTCCCACTCAAGAGCTCCATGACTCTATGTCTTGGTAAGATCACAAAAATGGGTCCAAAGGGCAAAACACGAATCGGTTGAACCCAACAGCCAAACACGGTGCTTCCAGGGGCCGCCAGGCCAGGAGCCATCCGGTATCGCTCTGCTCCCCTGATCTTTTTTCCCTCCTCCTCCTCATCCTCCTCTGCTTTCTCCTCCCACCCCCCGCCCCCCCCGCAATAGTCCTCGGCCGATATCGCTCCCCCACTCGTCTCCCCCGAGATCGCTCTCCCCTCCACCCGACATCGCTCTCCTCCACAGGTCTCTCCACCCTCATAATTCTCAAGTCGTCCCCTGATTGGATTCTGCTGTGGTTTTCACGTCCTTGCTGCCCGAAGTTTCCCTTGCCTGACAAGTGAGCGAAAAAAGGTTGTCCAAAGACATCTGCTAGCCAGCTTGTTCCAAGTGACCAAACTGTTCAGGTTCTTAGCCTCCTTATATTCCCGAACCATCAAAATGGGTTCCTCGGCAAACTCTTGCTGCAGCACCAGGAAGTAGTAGGCGCCGCTCGCGGTCTTCGTTGGCTGTTGAGCACAAGGATGCCCACGAAGAGATCAAGCAGCTGCAGCTATCGGAGCAAAAGCGTGTTCGTAGCAGCCTACACGTTTGGAACTCTATGCGGCTAGCCTAAAGCTAACCGGCTCCGCTACCAAACTCCCATAGCGGAACTCTTCTTCTAAGCACTGCTCTGTCTGTAGACGATCGTCAACTTCACTGGCCACAAAATGCTGAATGTTGGAAGATGTTGGCTGTAACACCTGGCTGGGCTGTAGCTGAGCTATTTCCAGCAGCCACCGTGGTCATTATGCAAAGCTTCCCACGAATGAGAACCTCCCGGAATAACAAACAATTCACCACATGATTGGATGGTTGGCATCCAAAATTGTAGATCTGAAGTTCAGTTACAGCAGTCAGAAGACTAGCTTCCACAAAAAAAAGTGTGATGCCTTCTCGCCCATGTTGCCTCCGAGCTTCTCCAACGATGCCTCCACAAACTTTGCCACGGGCTTCACCAAGGGCTCGCGCGCAACTGCCTGCAAATAGCCACAGGCTTCTCATCAGAGAGAGACCCGAATGTTGGAACCTCGTTTGAACTGCTGACCAAATGATGTGCCTTCTTCTTCGGTCGCACGGGATGTGGAATGCGTTTCCTGAGGCGTTCACTGACAGCCCTGCCCCAACTCCAATGCCTCTGATAAGCCAGGGACATGCTGGCCGTCAGCATGGCATCTGCAGACCTTAAATTAAACTCTTTCAACACCGACAGTACGATGCTTCGATTCTTTGATCGCCCGACATCCAAGACGTGGCCGTCTCCGTGGTCTCGGTGGCCGATGCAGCAGGCTCCTGCGGCCACTGACTATGCGATCAGTGTCGGTAAGCCTTGTATTGTATGCACCTTCAAACGCTGCCAGTAATTAGAAGTTGAGACTGCCGACATGCCATACGAATGCTGATGCTGGCATGCAGCAACAGCTCAGACCCACTGCATCAGTGGGGAGAGCACTAACACTAATCACGATAATCACGCATACCGCGGGGCGGCCTGCGCAGCAAACCTTCGCCTTGCGGTAGCTCGCCATCTGCAATGAAGGAAGCCAAATGCAAGGAAACTGCGGAAAGAAGGATGCACTTCTGTGCCTGTCCAGTGCCCGCTGAAGCAGCTTGGCGCCAAGGCCCTCGTGCAGGAACCAAGCCACCTGTGGCTGTGGGAAGGTCGCGGGAAGATGGTATGGTGCTTTGTTCGGCGTCTAAAAGAAAAAACACTCTGGACTCTGCACCTCGCTGGCCACCTCGCTCTGCGGGTCGTCAAACTGAACCTCAAACAAACTTCAGAAAAACAAAAAGAAAGAGAGCACATCACGCGTTTTGTTCGCGGGCGGACCAGGCCTGGACTTCTGGACGCGCTTCCCCCGACTCGAAGCCAAGGACTCGAAGTACAGCAGGCCAGCGAGGCCAGTGCTGGGATCTTGGGAAATCTGCCTGGGACATAGCCCAGGGCACGTCAGGCACGTCGCTACATTCACTGGAACTGAGCTCCCGAACTCCATAAGAGCGAGTTGCCTTCTAGTGGCCGCGGCACTCACAACCAGCGCAGTGCAGGTCTTGCCGGACCTTGATCTCCAGCTCCGCACCGAGGCTTAAATCGAACTGGAGCAAGACCTCGCGTATTCTGCGCGCAGGCGTCCAGCTCATAAGAGCCATGAGTGATGAGAGCATTCCGCTGCGCGAGCCTGCCCCTTGCGACCACAGAGGCTGGCTTCACCGCTGACTTCGACTCGCAGAACGTGAACCTGACAGGAAGAAGCACACTTTTCAGAAGGCGGATAAGCGCGCCTGCCTCCAAGAATGTCCAGGGTGTCCTCACCAATCCTGAGCTTTCTGGATCCTCCAGCAGTGGCTGCCACGAGGGGTTCAGAGTGCATTCGCAGCTGTCCTTTAGAGCCTCTGCAAGAATTTCTTGCAAAGTCTCCTTGGCCCAGCCGGAGATATCTTTCTCCTGGAGGCCAGGTGGACTGGAGAAGCTTCAGCCTATTCGCATGTGCTGGCCTGCCAGTCCATGGCAAATTCGCACCGCCATCTACAAGAAGCCCAGCCGGGTCTCTGCTCATGCAGTACTTGCCGTTGCTCTTACATATGCAATCGAAACCCAATAGCCTTCAGCATGCAAAGACCTGTGAGGCAACATTCTTGTAGTGGCTTCAAAATGTTCTGGAATCAAGTCTTGCGGGGTTGCGGAATCACTTTCGTAATCGCGGCCATCTGCAAGCACGCATCCGTAATTCAGCTGCTTGAGACAAGTACACCCAAGCTTCGACAGCACGGATCAGGAGCATCCCCCAAACGACCAACACACATTTTCTAGGAGCAGCATGATGCTGAGAGAAAATGTTTCCCACAAAGTGGAGGGAGCATATGTTCTCGCAGCTCACACACGGCGCATGAGACGGGGTCGGCAACCTCACAGGACATCCCTGAGTGTGCGACAGATACAGCCATCCCTTACCAGCCTCCGTAGGCAATTGTGTTTCGTACGTATGCTTGGCTCACCTGGGCAGAAGCAAAAAAGCAGGAGCTCACCTTTGTTTGGGGCCAAGTGTTGGCCGGGACACCGCAATGCCGGAGCTTCGGATGGTGGCGATGATGCTTCCCAGAGCCCCGGGCCTCCGTATTGCGTATTCCGTAACTTCTCGCAACTTCCAAGGCATTTCAAGGCAGACCAAGGCCCTGGCGCCCCCTTGACCTGCAGCACAATGGACTCCACACCAAGCTTGTCTGCAACGAAGAGCGCGGCCTCAACAGCCATGTCTCAAGGAATCCAGAGTCAGTGGCAGGAAGCCTCTATGGCACGGTTGGCGTTCGGAAGTAGCTGGCCTGACAAAACGCTGGATCTTGTGAATCCCTGCGTTTGCTCTCCGGTAACGCAATCATGAACAGCATCAGCCCAGGAGCCGTAGCGCTTTTCTGTGGTGCACCACACGACCTGAGACCCCTCCATAAATTCATCAAGCAGTGCCCAGATCAGGCGGGCCTCACCCTTGCGGTCGCACAAGGCTACGTGAGAGTTGTTCTTGGACTTGCGAACGGTCAGCATCTTGGCACAAGCACACAAGCACTGCGTTCCCTGCGTTCCTTGGAGTCAGCACCCCTGTGGTCTTGGGCAGAGGCGGCGCCACCTTTCAACCTGGCAATTTGGCTTTTTGCAAAATCACGAAAGACTGGTCAAGGTCATCGCCTTGATACCTTGCTCTGCTTCGTCTTGGCCTGCGCTGCCAGGCAGGTTCCTGGGCAGAGGGCGGAGGCAGATACTGCGGAGCTTGACAAAGAGCAGCCAAGTCATGCTAAGCAGCGCTGTGAGCGAGCCAGACTGGCTGCCACGGCCTCAACGTCAGGAGTACATGCTGGAGCGCATGCACGTGAAAGGAGGGTATGGAGCCACACAACGTCACTGACAACTGAGGCGCTGACTGCGGCTGCAGCTCCTGCGATGCCCCAGTGAGCCTTTCGCTTCCACGCGCAGCACGAGGGAAGCAGACAAGCTAGGGCTCCGCCCGGTCTCTCGGACGCTGGCCGTTGAAGACGTTCTGCTCGCGAAAGGCGTGCTCAAGCCTCGCACCTGTCCCCACCCTGGTTGCTTGTGCAAAACACCTGAAACCCAGCACTCTCGCCTCAGAGCGGATCACATCCTGTCTCAGCTGGATCGGTGTGGCGAGGCCTAAGGCTTGAGGAGTTCCGAGAGGCTAGACACAGCTATTACGGAGCATTGCACAGCATTGCACAGCTACTCTGTGGAGGACGGGGCCCAGACCGCTGGAAGGAGCTACGAAGGCATGGCACAGCGGAAGCCTTGACCCACAAAACCGGCATTTGCTCAGCCTGCCCGCCTCATCCTCCAACTTTCCGAGAGCTGGGCGCCGCGAGTATAAGCCAGCGCCTTAACAGCACCGGGCAATGGTAGACCATCTGCCAAAAAAGACTTTGTCTTCGTTGCTGGAATGACTTGTAGAGCTAGCCAGAGCTCCTGGCATCGCGGGATCTCCCGGCCTCACAAGTCAAGGCGCTTGGCTTAAAAAAGTTGCATTGAGAAACGCCTTTCTTCGGGCCAAGCTGCTCAGGGACCGCACGTCAAGAGCCCGGAGCCCAGATGGCTTCGTTTGCACACGTTCACCGGACACCCCCCAACAACCAGAGGCAAGAAGCTGTCCAACTTGCAACGGCTTGGCTTGTGATGGCTGCTTTTTTGCATATGCGCCATGTGACATCGACGTGGTGCTAGTGAGGCTGGGCTTAACACATTGCACCATCCGCTATATACGGAAGATGGGCTCAACCCAGAAGAGGGTGTCTGTGGTGCTTCACTTCTTCTTGTCAGAGCCCACAACCTGCACGAAGAACTCCATCTTCTTTTGAGCCTTCCAGCGCATGTCCAGAATCACAGCATAGCTCTGCATTTACTGCTTCTGGGCCGACGCATGCTGTTTCTTTTTTTACCCTACAAGCATGATGCCTTTCTTGCGAACATGAAGCAGACCTTCCCAGCCTCTCTGAAGCCGCCCGGCACCCTCTGATCACAGATGACCATGCGGTGCCGTGTGATTTCCTCCGACACGCAAAGAAAGGACGCTCTGCCAAGAGGTAGACAGGCAGAGCAGGGCACCTCCCGCGGCTCTCTCTTTGGCTTCTCCTCTGACTCTGGCATTGCTAAGGGCTCCTCAGAAATCAAAGAGCAGGCCCTAACAGATAGAGAAAACGTGCTGTCACAGTCAGCTGTCACGCTCCTCAGATGCAGCGCGGCGTTCGCAGCGTTGGAGCTAGGCTTGCCTTCCCTTGCCGCTTGAGGCTCTGAGCCGAGAGCTCGAGAAAAAAGCAATTCACGAGTGCGTGACAAAGTGCAACAATCGAAAGCTCGATTTGATGCGCTGCGGCTTTTTGAAGAACAGGCAGACCTGGGTTATGTACATGCCGCAGCACTTATGCTGGGCCATCCAGGTCTGTCAGCCAAGCCACAGCACCCTCGACCTTCTGTGCAGTTACGGTTGCAATGCATCACATCTGACCATCGGACCATCACCCATCTCATCAGTGCGGGGCCCGGGCGGTAGAGCTCCGCGCAGCGGCTTCCCGGGCCCGAGGTGCTGGAAAGCCCAAAGCAATCAATTGATCCACGAGCGTCTCTCCACCTGTCGTCTCAATCTTTTTGCATGCACGCCAACAAGCCTTGGCCAAGTGCCTGGGCTGGTTAAGTCACGGTCGGAAGCCTGGCAAGAGCATGTTGTAGAGCAGCACGCGAAAGCTCCAGAGGTGAGATCGAGGACCAGACACGAGGATGAAGCTGGGCACCTCGGACACAACATGATATGATTTGATATGATGATATATGATGAGTAGTAGGGTGCTGCCAGCTTCCTTGGTCTTGTTTGCTTCTGGAAGCCTAAGCGCCTGGCGGCCTGTGAGCTCGGACAGCACCGCCCTGCAGAGAAGAAATCTCGCACAACTTTAAGGCAAAGAAAAAACACCGAATCGCACACTCATACCAATATGTATGTAATTGAATACATGGCGCGCGAGTATCAGTACATAAACAATAGCCGCTGAAAGATTCCTTTCCCTGATTGGGGCTCAGGCAGGCTGGAGAGCTTGCTCTCAAGCGCTCGGCCGGCCGCAGCACTTGCTGCCTACCATAGCTCTATGGGGTGAGGAGATGACTGTTCTTTGGTGACTGCAGCTCGTGCTGTTTGGCTCGCGCTCTCGAACTCCAAGGAGCTATGGTACTTCTAAGTCACGCCTGGGCTTGAGGAGTTATGGTACTCGAATGGTGTAACGTTCTTCTTTACGTCATTTGTTGGCCTCCTCACTTTGCTCAGGGGTGACAATCTCGCGAATGCCTGGTGTGAACCTTGGGATTTTGCAAGCGCCTTTCTTGCGGCGAAGCCGAAAGCCCTGAGGCAGTTTCATCTAAGGACCGGAGGTTTCCCACCGTGACTCTCGGCAAATGGCTAATCATGCTTTTCGAACAACATGATCGAAGAACGCTTAGAGTCAAGCGCCTCTTTCCAATAAAAAACAAACTGAGGGTACGATCAAGAAACAATAGGTGTTGATCAAAAACAGTTTTCGGAAAAGTGTCGTCAGAGCAAAACAGCCAGGGACCTGTGATTAGACAAACCATGTGATGAAGAAGAGCACTTTTTGATTAAATAAGGTGTCGTCTTTCGTGAGGATGAGCCGAGGACAGTGAAGGGTCTTCAAACCCGCCGACCTTTGCCGCTACACCGCTTTATCGCCACAGCCAGTTGTAAAAAAACGGCCCGATCAGGCACCATCCAAAGGCACCAGCCAAAACTTGTTCTTCTGCGCAGCTCACATGGACGCAAGAGATCACCAATCGTGGATGCAATGAGTGCGGAAATACAACCACATGAACTCTGTCTGCACCTGTTGCTATGCTGTGCACGTTCTTGCCAGGCAAAATCTCAGTCAATGCAAACGGGTGGCCCAAACCACGTGTTTCTGACATCTGAGATACACATGCCAAACCAAAAGCAGAAAGGAACAGCAAGTGCACAGTGCAGAACAACAGACCACACCCTGGACGGGAACTTGACTGAAAAGACCAGAAAAAATGGAACCAGCAGCAGACTTAACAGAGAAAACCAAGAACCTGACATGCAGATGCTGCAATGCTTGATTACGAAACAGACTGTGTTGAGAGCTCTTTGCGCAATCGTATTCAAGCATCTCTGTCAGAGTCTGAGTCGTCAAGGGCAAATTCGACGGCCTCACGTTTGTCGAGAGCCGAACGTGAAAGATAAGCCAGAAAGGCCCCTGAACGCCAACCCCCAGCTCGAAGTATATGTGATAGAGGGCTGCCCTTGTCAAGCAAGTCTGATGCCATGCCTCTGCGAAAAGCATGCCACCCTGGCCAAGATATCCCCACAACATCGCAGCATGCTCTAAATCTCCGTTGGGCTTCAGCTGCTGTGAAGGGCCATATGCCGGAGAAACGGTCAGTGCTGCGCTCTCTGGCTCGCTGCAGCTGCATAGCCAAGGAACATGCACAACACATCACTTCCAGTTTACGGGCACAACAACACTTTCGCAGAAGAACTGCACCATTTGGTGCATTCTTTCGGGTGCGCAATGTGACTGTCACATCACGTTTGTTGATCTTGACTGTTGAATGCCAAAGTGTTGCATCCTGTTCGCTTTCAGTGAAGCTGCCAGCTTGAAGGGGAAGCAATTCATAGGCCACCCTAAAGAGGAAGCCACGTGCCACCACAAACCATCGTGCCATGTCATCCCAACCCTTGTCCAAGGCTACCTGGACAAGTGCAAGTACTTGTTGATGTCTTAACCGCGGCATGTTTGAACGTCGCTTGTCCTTACGGGCCCCCCGCATTAACTGTTGCCAAGCGCTGGAGGGGATGCAAGGCTCGCGATGCAGAATCCGCAGAAACAAGCGCAAATGACCAACATATTCCCCAAGAGTGTCGGGATTTCGAAACTGTTGACTGTAGGCTGCTGGCATTTCCATGGTGACCTCAAACGGATCCGAATATTTGAACAGACCCTCCGTCAAAAGCCCCCAAGCCCAAATGCCAGATCGAACGCTCTTCCATGATCCGCGAATGGACGTCAGCATTGTACGGACAGCTGCCTCAAGTGCCAGAGCTTATGGAAAACGCCATTTGGCCAAGTCTATGGGCTTAAGAATGACAGAGGCATCTGGACAATCGATCATGCTCCGGGCACCACGAAGACGCTTGGAAGGCACCTCATCCCAAAGTGGACGACCACCCGCTTCCCCTTGTGGACCCAGGCGGGGAATCAAATATTCACAGTTGGATTCGATGCAGCGCTCCTCGAACGAAAAGATCCCCAATGCGCGCGCAGAAGAGGCTGTGATCATCCCATCTTCCTGGAAAAGTGCTTCCAGTGCTACGCCAGCACCTGCAGCAGAAATAGGTCCTTGCAACGACAGGACCTCCAGCCATGATCCTTTGCGACCCAAAGCAGCGAATTCAGCCCAAGGAATTGGGGATCCAAATGCCAGCTCAGTAACCGATCGCGGAAGATAACGGTGTGGAGAGTCCGATGTCCCACAGCGTGCCCGAGCTTGCTCCCGGCAATGCACCAGGATTGCCTGAACACCTGGAAATTCGAATTGAAGTCTAGCAATGGCAC